ATATATATAAATATATGCACTCGGCCGGGCGTGGTGGCTCACGCCTGTAATCCTAGCACTCTGGGAGGCCGAGGCAGGTGGATCCCTCAAGGTCAGGAGTTCGAGACCAGCCTGAGCAAGAGCGAGACCCTGTCTCTACTAAAAATAGAAAGAAATTATTTGGACGACTAAAAATCTATATAGAAAAAATTAGCCAGGCATGGTGACGCATGCCTGTAGTCCCAGCTACTCGGGAGGCTGAGGCAGTAGGATTGCTTGAGCCCAGGAGTTTGAGGTTGCTGTGAGCTAGGCTGACGCCACGGCACGCTACTCCGGGCAACACAGTGAGACTCTGTCTCAAAAAATAAATAAATAAATAAATATATGCACTGAGAGCTGATATGCTTAATGCCTTGATGCTACCCAAAGAAACTGCTTTCAATTCAATAGTGTGTGGGCTTTGAAAAAAGAAAATAAAAGGAAAAGAAATTGTTGTCAGTAAAGGTAGAGACCTATAGTAAAAAAGATACTGTAGAAGCTAGAGGAAATTCTTTAGTAGATCTTCATGCTAATAGGCTGCTCTGTCTAAAGTCCTTAGGCAAGGACCTCTTATAGAATGGAAAAACAAATTCATGGAGAGGTTCAAAGATTACATCATAGGTGCACAAAATCTGGCCCCCAATTTCATTTTGTACCTAGATTAACACCACAGGTGAAATGGAACAATTTACATATAAGCTAAAAGAAAACACAACCTAGCTATCTAAGGTAGACTCAAGGAGTTGCTTCAACATATTTTCTTGGTCAGGCCTGAGAAATCTTGGGCCATGTGTCCAGAGTGCCTTTCAGACTCTTCTTATATTTCCAGTTATTCTTATTTTTCTCACAGTTGCTTGATGTCTATTGTCTATAGTCTCAGGGGTATCTACACAGCCACTACCCCAATAAATGAGTCAATATATGACTCAAAGACAAAGATAGGATAAAATCATGTTGATTGACACTTAAACTAAAAATCAGCCCTTTCCAAATGAACCTTCATCTTCAAGTAAAATCAACAATAATGGTAAATATCTAGAATTAATTCTTGTTGTTCTCTACTGTAACCTTGGCTGAGTGATGACCAAAAGTTCTCATACTCTTAAGAAAAAAACTGACTGTTTTCTGAGGCCATGGTATCAAGCCAGAATCTGTTTTAAACCCATTTAATCAGTAAATGAGTGTTCTATACCCTTGGTAACAAGTAACCGCAACTGGTTTTAAAATCTTTTAATCAATCAACGATATACATCAGCGAATATGTTTTGCAAGCCAACCACTCAGTGACAACTCCTTGTTTCTAAAAGTCAGCCAATCAGGATTTGACTCATCCCAGTGAACATACTTCTGAATGTCAACCAATGAACAGTCTCACCCAAGTAACAACACTCCTAAAGATGATATCGGCCCACTCATGCCTCTCTAAATCCACCAATACTTGGATTCCATGCTTTCCCCAAACTCTAAGATTAGTAGTCTGCTCTTCTCGGAGGAAACTGTGCCTGACCAGCATATATTTAAGAAAGCAATAAATTAAGTTTTGTATTTTTTTTAGATATTGAGGGGTAGTCGCATCTATTGACATATGGAAGGCTGCTAGCTTTGAGTGTGCCCAGAGTAAGAAAGGGCTCTGCAGCAGCAGCTCACACTACAATATAAATAGCCCTGCCACTTGGGCCATTTGACCCAGCTGATCACATGTCACTAGAAATGACTTTGGTAGAGAAAAATGCCATATGGAACTTCTGTTAATCCACAATGGAAAAGTTGCAGCTCAAAGCCCAAAGACATATCATCCTGGTGGAAACTGATTGTAGGACATTAAATGACTATGCAACTTGATCTTCCCATTTTGAGTTGGGTTCTGACAAACCCACCGAATTATAAGGCCAAATGGGCCCAGCAGTAATCCATCATAAAAGGGAAGTGGTATGTCTGGGATCAACTTTTACAAGGTCCAGAGGGCACAAGTAAACTGCATGAACAATTTGGCAGAGGTAATTGCATCTAATCATCATGAGGAGACAGGACTGCTGCTACACAATGAGGGGAGAAAGGAATGTGTTGGCCACTTAGGTGATCCACTGGGACATCTCTTGGTACTCCCATGCCCCGTTGAACTGTAAATGGACAATTTTAGCAACAATGGCATGATAAGGGTCTGATGACCAGGAGATCAGGCTCCTTAAAAATGAGAGTGTGGGTCAACTCATCAGGCAAGCCAAAGAAAGGGGATCTACAATGGGGCTGAGGGCAGAAGATGGAGATGATGAGTATAGATTACAGCTCAGGACAAAATGTAGCAGCATGGGACTATATTTCATTTCACAAACCTTCCTCTTGAAATTTTCTCAGAAATTGTGACCCATCAGGATACAGGAAAAGCTGTACCTAGATGGAGTGAATTTAATGTGAGAAGCAAACAGAACTGCTTGGTGCAAGGGGTGAGATGTAGTGGATCTATCAGTGCACTTCCCCCTGCTATGTTGGTTGACAACAACTCTCAGCTGCCTTCTCTTCTGGAAATTGTCATCCCCCTCACCTGGGAGGCTGAAACTCACCTTGATCAATAACCAATTGACACAGGAATGCAAAAGAATGGCTCCCTTGCCTCAGTGGGGAGCTAATTCTGTGGTCCAATCTGTGCTCCAGAGCTTTCTTGTAGAATCTGCTGAGATCACATTCTGGCCAGCTTTTTACTCCCTGTCCTATCCTGCTTCTCTCGCACCTTTCCTCCAGAAATTACTTCCCTAATAAATCACTTCAGTAAGAATCCCTGTCTCAGACTCTGCTTCTAGGGAACCCAATCCAAGCCAGTGTACATTGTTCAGAATTTATGTCTAATCCTAGGAAGAGGGATAGCCCTCAAAAACATTTCTGAGATTGAATTTCCTGTTAACCAGAGTGAATAAGGGCACAAGTAATATTTACCTAATGTAGAAAAATGGGCCACTTCTTACATGTGAGTGTTGTAGAGTAAAATTCACACCTGTTACTGCTTTATATTTTCTTGTCATATGGCTTACACCCCATCCCTTCCAGCAGATGAATTTATTTTGAACAAGGTACATCTCTCCATTGCCAGATGCAAGTCAGCACTTTCAAAGCAGTCCATAGCTTGACAGGAAGCAGTCTCATGCTAGCAAGGCATCATTTACCAGACCATGGTTAATTGAATGACCATCCCCCTCCTCAAGCTTTCATTTCTCCTACCTCATCTGCTTCTGCCAGTGATAGCCAGTTCACTCGGTATCTTCTGACTGGCCCCTCAGTGACCCTGCCTTCACATGTTGGTCCTACCTTTGTTTCATAGGCTAGTCTTGATGTTCAACCACCAATATCCATTAGTTGTGCTTGGCTTCACCTCTCATTGTGGCCCTTGGCTCCTCCATTGCAGCTGACATATGCCAGCTGCCCCTCTGGGACAGACCCCACTACTCCCAAGGTTTTTGCCTTATCAGTCCCACTTTGCATAAAACACTCTCTTTTTTTTTTTTTTTTTGAGACAGAGTCTCACTGTGTTGCCCGGACTAGAGTGCCATGGCGTCATCCTAGCTCACAGCAACCTCAAACTCCTGGGCTCAAGCGATCCTTCTGCCTCAGCCTCCCGAGTAGCTGGGACTACAGGCATGTGCCACCGTGCTCGGCTAATTTTTTCTATGTATTTTTAGTTGTCCGATTAATTTCTTTGTATTTTTAGTAGAGACAGGGTCTCGCTCTTGCTCAGGCTGGTTTCGAACTCCTGAGCTCAAACAATCCGCCCGCCTCGGCCTCCCAGAGAGCTAGGATTACAGGCGTGAGCCACCACGCCCGGCCAAAACACTCTCTTTCATACTCAAGTCAGGTGTCCCATTCTACTCAGTCTTGGTGGTCCCTCTGAGGTTGACCACCCTAATTAGGTAAATACTTCTAGCTCATTTCTTGTCATCTATATTATATTGATGATTAGACACCTAAAGTCATAAGCAGTATTTCCAAATCCTCTTTATAGGCATTTTTGTGCATGAATCACCAGCCTCCTCGTTTTCTACAAAGCATCTTTCTCTATCACATCTTTGGACTTCATGGTATCTACTTTTATTTTAGTCTGAATGTTCGTCTTTTCTCATCGCATTTCTATTTAAAACCTTCTGCATCAGGTCAGGAATCTTTCCTCCAAACACATACACCTTGGTGATCCATAAAATGGTCTCTATGCTTCCCAGTGATGTTTGTCATGTCTCAGAAAACTCAGTTCCTCCAACTTGTATAGACATTGCAACATGGTCATTAAAAGTTTTTATTTGGAAATAAAACAAGCCTGAGTTTGAATTCTAGCTCTACCACTTACTAGCTGGGAGAACTTGACTAAGATGTTCAACTTTTTTGGGTCTTAATTTCATTTTATATAAAATAGGGAATGATCATAACAGTACTTACCTCATAGAGTAGTCGTGAGGATGAAAAGAGGTAAAACAAAGTGCTAAGCCTAGTGCCTACAGATGCATGGTAGACATCCAATACATCTTATTATCATTTTTATTCAACACCTTCAGAAGTCTCTGTTCAAGCCTCAGAGCTGTCCAGTAGTTATGCAAAGGACCAAGTAATACCCAGTATGAACTGTCTATCAGAGCCATCTATCAGTGTGGGAGGTCCCAGGTCTGTATCAGAAGGAAGTTCATCCATCACTGGAGAAGTTGGGCCAGAGGAGGTCAGACCCAAGGGAAGGAAGGGTAGCAAACTAAAGTGTGGAAGGGGGAAGGCAGCCCATGAAAGCCTCAACTGGAGAGGCAGGGCAAGGAGGAAGGCCAGGGATGGGTGAGGATGTGTTTGGGATAGCTGGAGAGAGATGAAAGCCCAAATGAGTGAACTGTGCAGATTTAGGATAAATACCCTGAAAGGCAATATCCTTCCTGGCCAAGGGTACTTCAAGGTGATAGAAGCAGAGTCTTAAAGAAGTAGAGCCAGGACAGATAAAAAATCTTTTTTTTTTTTTTAAGAGTTCAAACTTTTTATTGAACATATTACAAAAGAGATTCACTCAAAAAGACCAAAGCCCATGTCATCATCAGACTCCTCAGATTCTTCTTTCTTTGCTTCCGTTTTCTTCTCCTCAGCTGGGGCAGCAGCAGTGGAGGGGGCAGGACCTCCTGCTGGTGCAGCACCAGCTGCTGGAGCAGGTCCACCAGCCCCTACATTGCAGATGAGGCTCCCGATGTTGACATTGGCCAGGGCCTTTGCAAACAAGCCAGGCCAGAAAGGTTCGACATTTACACTAGCTGCTTTTATAAGGGCATTGATCTTATCCTCCGTGACGGTCACCTCATCGTCGTGCAGAATGAGTGCCGAGTAGATGCAGGTGAGCTCGGAGACGGAGCCCATGGCGCTGCCGGGCACGGTGCTAGTCGCCGGATGAAGTGAGGGCCTCACCCCAACGTAGCCTTAGCTTCCTCAGAAGGACCGAGCACCTTGGCGGCAGCTGAGGAAAAGCAAAAATCTTTTTTAATTTCAAATACTCTCTCCTGCTTTCCCACTACTGATCCAGGAAAAAAAAAGGTTTGGCTTTCAGTTAGAAGAGTTTGGAATGGAGCCAGTCCTGGGGAAGAGGTTAAATTAAAAACCAGGGGCCTAGAGATTGGATAAAACTTGTGACTGGATCTTGAACTCCAGGTTTTGGCTTCTCTACCTGAAAAGGAAGACCTCTTCCTAGAATATCTCTTTTTTGCTCCCCATCACCCCTGGGGTGTGTGGTTGGCCTAAAATACAAACACCAGTGTTGGCTGATGTCTTCAGCAGCGGCCTCCAGTATCTCAGGGGCTTTCAGACGAATGACATTTTCCTCATCCTTGCATTACCCCAAGGACCAGGGAAGTCACATCTGCTGATGGCTGAAAACACAACACTCTTCTTGTAAGTCCCACAGGACCTGGGACACAGGGACACAGCCCCAGCAGAACTGGTCGATTATCACAGACCTGTTGCTGCCTTGTACTGCTGAAACTGACTACACCAAGCACATCACTGGCAAACAACTGTTATTTACCATCTATAATTATTTCAACCTCTTGCCCGCAGTCAGGGGAATGAGCCTAATGACTTTTAGAGAATTCCAGTCAGCTAGGAAGCCTGTAATCATTCAATACAGTGATTCTGGGATCCTTCAGGAAAAGTCCTAGAGGACTTAAGAGGATTCTGCACAAACATCAGAATTATCATTTGTGCCATCTGACTTCTGGTCCCCAAAGAGATTATACAGAATCAGGAAGGCTAGTGTGCCTTCCCCAGGGTTTGGGACCACAAAGGCATTCAGGACCATGTTAATCCCCACATTACCTGTTCCCCTCTAGTCTCACCCTGAGCCCAGCTTCCACCTGCAGCCCACCCCCTAACTGCCTCATCATCCACTTAGCCTCTGATACAGTGAAAACTGATAAGCCCTCTTGCTCAGGGTCCTTTAATCTGATGACTCCTGCCCCATAGCACCCCACTTCTCTATGCCCCACGCCTGATATATCTAGGGCTTTGGATTGTAGAGACAGGAGTATGATGTAAATATGCCCTGGCCCCAGCCACCCAGAACTGGTGTTTGGATTGCTGAGACTCCAGGCCGAAAGCCCAGCCTGAGTCTGGTCCTCCTTGCTGTTCATCTTCTAGAGCATTTGCTTCCCTGATGCTTCTCCTGCCATGAGGAAGCGCAGCAAGCCAGCTTGCTGTTGGCACCTGCCACACTGTAGCATAACACCAACACTAATGGCAGAAATAATCACAGTGACAACGACGGTTTGGTCTACATGCAGAAGGCACTTGTCATCTCCCCAGAAGCCTCTTGGCCTAGGGCTCAGCTGTGATGATGGACCTGGCCCCTGGCCCACAGCCCACACTGTCGCAGTCACACACCAGATTCATCCGAATGGTTGACATCATCATTACTGTCATCACAATTCTTGATAGCTATTCATTTATTCCTGAAAAGCACATTTACTAAAGATAAACCGTGTGCCAGGTACTGTGCAAGATTCTAAAGGAGTTACAAAGATTAACATCTTCAAGAAGAAGTCCACAGGCTCACACCTGTAATCCCAGCACTTTGGGAGGCCGAGGTAAGAGGATCACTTTACACCATCAGTTCGAGACTAGCCTGGGCAGCAACACCCTGTCTCTGCAAAAAATAAAAAATTAGGCAGTCATGGTGGCCCACACCTGTAGTCCCAGCTAGGTGGGAAGCTAAGGCAGGGGGATTGCTTGAGCCCAGGAGTTGAAGGCTGCAGTGAGTTATGATGATGCCACTGCACTCCAGCCTGAGTGACAGAGTGAGACCCTGTCTCAAAAAAAAAAAAAGGTCCACAGTGGGAGGGAGAGATCAGCACATAATTCCAATATAGGATTACGTAGACTGTTATAGATGGATAGATTCCCAGTGCCTGGAAGAATGGTAGGACATAGTGAGAGCTCAGTAAGTATGTTTTGATAAATGTTGAGTTGAATGAATGAACAGGTGAACGAATGAATAAATGAGTATACAAAGGGCTGTGGGATCTGAGAGTGGGGAATAGAGTAACTTTGTTGGAAAGGAATCAAGGAAGGCTTGAAGAGGAGGCGATATCTGAGCTGAACTCTGAAAGCTGAAAAGGTAGCACAGTGCTCTGGTTAAGAGCATGGAGTCTGGATCCTGACTGCCAGGATTGAATACCAACCCTGTGTGGTTTGGGGCACGTGTGATTACTGGACTTCTCTGTGCCGTGCCTTGGTTCCCCCATCTGTAAAATGAGTTAATAACAGTAGCTCCCTTATGCGGTGGTCGTGAAGATTACAAGCTGATATTTGTTAAGTCCTTAGTATGTAGTTAAGAATTATATATATGTCTGATAAATAATTCAACTGGCTGGGAGCCCATCAGGCTAACAGCGTGGAAAGTTAAGGGCATGAAGAAGAGCATTTCAACAATGTAATGGTATTGAGGTTTCCAGCAGGAATGGTGGGAAGGCAGCGGGGGCAGGGGCTTCACAGGGTATCCTGAATATCAGGGTAAGTGGTGTGGTGAGCCAGTACTTTTTACTTTTGTTTTTTTTTTTTCAAACATCAGGAGAAGCAAGAAGCTAGTACTTTTTAAAACAAACTTTTCATTTTGAGATAATTTTAGATTTACAGAAAAGTTGCAAAGTAGTACTAAGAGTCGCAATATATCCTTCACCCAGTTTCCCCTAATGGTACCATCTTAAAAGGAGCCATTGCTTTTAAAGCAAGACCATGACATAATCAGGCATGTATTTTAGAAAGTTCCTGGTAGCAGTTGTGAGGAGGAAGAATTCCAGGGAGAGAGACATGGCCCCGGCAGACCCATGAGGAGGCTGTGAGCGCTATCCCAGTGGGCAACGGTGCAGTCAGGAAATGGGGTGAGAAAGAAGGCATGGGTGTGAGAAAACTTCTGAATCGGAGCAGGCGGCTATGGATGCTCAGGAAGAGAAAGAACCCAGGGCACAGTCAGGAGATGCAGGCGATGGGCAGAGCGACCCTCTGTTGGAGGCATTTGCCAAGCAGCTACCCATGTGTGCAACCTGGCATCCCTCACCAGGAATCTCTCTGAAAAGCTGGGCAGGCTGGCAGGTGTGGGGAGTTCAGGTGGCTGTGCAGAGCCCGGGGTCTGACAGGGGTGGCTGGGGCTCCTTTCCAGTATCCCAGGCCCAAGTTCTGTGCACTGCCCTAGGGCTAGAGAACGCTGGTGGGGCTCCCTGCAGTCACTCTCAGCTTCCTGGCCCCCATGAAGGGAAATGCACCTAGGTGAGAATAGAAGAATTGGTTCAGATTCATCCCTGACCTTAGGGTGTTATTCATTCGTACTGAGAGGCACTATGATGTGATGGCTAAGTATGGGTGATGGCACCAAGAAGACTGGGTTCAAATCCCAGCTCTACCACTTAACAACTATGTAACCCTGGGCAGGTTTCTTAGCTTCTCTGTGCCTCAATTTTCTTATCAGTAAAGAAGAGATGATAATAGTATCATCTGATGATATTAATATAAGGATTAAATGAGTTAATTCATAGATGAAGTGAGCATACATTTCCTAGGAGATATTAGGTACTATGTGTGTGTTCGAATCATTGAATTAATATGTTTAAATTAAATGTGTTTAGATTATTTAATACTGCTATAATCAACCAGTCTGCATATGAGGAAATGTTAGCCCAATAGAAAGCAAGCTTCAGATGAACAGAGACTGTATTGTTCCCATTGTATGTTAGGTACATAGTATGGTACAAAGAATATAGTAGTTACTTGATATTTATTGAATACTTTTTAAATGAATAAATGAGCGGCAGTCTAACTCCAGCGTACATGCAGTGTGCGGATGCTGATTCAGAAGCACTTTGGAAGACCTGTTCCATGGTCAAATAGCTTCTAGTTCAGTGTTTGGTAATTGTCCCACTTGATGTGTCCATGTGAACACTAGACAGTCAAAAAAAAAAAAAAAACAGTTAAAGCAGCAGTTGCACACTTGGAGTCTGTTGCAGGCAGAGGGCTATTTAGCTGCAAAGAAAAGAAATGCATGCAAGTCAGCTTTATAAAGGGTTGTCTACAGTGGACAGAAACAGGGGAAGCTGAATGAACTCCCCTCCCCAAAGAAGTATAGTCGACATGCTCTGGAACTAGAAGTTGTCACGCAGCAACTCCCCCATTGCTCTTCTGGGTCCTCCCGCGTTCTTGCTTCTGCGTCTTTCTGCATGTCTACTCCAGTCTCCTCTCACCAAACTGCCTTCCTCTGTTTTCACATGCACTATTACGGCCACTCCAAAGTGGTTGCTTTCCCCCAACCCCAGTGCACACGAAGTTAGAAAGAATCTGATTGGCCCTGCTTGGGCAAATACTCCCTACTCCTGTCTATCAGCCATGACCAGAAGATAGGATTTAGGGATACAGAGAGCTCCACCTTCTGGAAGAGAATATGCATGGGAAGAATATAAGAGCATAGCAAGAACATGGTCCTCTTTCTGGAAACTAAATAGAACTGATGAGTACTGTCAAAATATATGTCAACATGGGTGGGATTTCACTTTTGAGAATAGGAGGAAAGCCCAGAAATTCACCCAGAGCCTTAGAAACATCCTTTTCCCAGACACTCCGCCTGGGTTGGCTGGGTCCAGCTCCTGCCTACCTGGTTTCTGTTGCTTCCAAGCTCAGTTTCCAGAGCTCAGAGGCCCCCACTTCGAGGTCTGACCATGTCAGAAAAACAAGGGATCGAGAGCTGGTTTTGGCTACTTATAACACGAGAAAGGAGAAAACATATGTCAACAGAATTGCCCTCCCATCATTGTTAGACCTCAAAAATAGGGCTTTTGGCTGGGCGTGGTGGCACACACCTATAATCCTAGCTACTCCCTCTGAGGCGGGAGTATCACTTGAGCCC